TAGTTGATCTATGGGAAGCAGAAGATCCTCCAGATGATGATTATGTAGTTGAACAGGCAACAAGTTCGTCTATCTCTGCATCAAATCCCTGGGTCCTGTATGAGGCAGGCATTACCTGTTCTCGTGATGAGGATGGTCACATACAACGAAACTCTTCAGGTGAGAAGGTTGTTGTCCTCAGGGAATGGGCGTTTTTGCTTGGACCTCAGCGAGTTGCTTTGAGAAGGCAGTCCATTGGACGTGCTGACTGGGAGAAGCTACCATGGACAGGACATCTCTGCTATCTTTTTACAAGAGCATGGGAAATTGGTCGGCTACGCTCCTACTACAAGAAAGAAGGAAAGATCAATTTAGTGAGAGGGATCCTCGATGAATGTAGATACTACCATACAGATTGGTTGAGAGGAGCTGGTGAGCCATTAAGTTGGGATGAAAGGTTTGATATCAATCGAGATCAGTGGCCTGAACAGCTACACCTGTATGAACGTGATCTGATGATTCAAGAAGACATGGAGTGGATGGTTGAAGCTGTTGACGTGTTTTACACTAAGCATCTCGACAAACTGATCAGAGAGAATGACAGAATGTGGGGAGATTTCTGCAAGAAGAAGTATGATAATGATGGTAACGAGATTGGACTGGAATTGAACACTTTGGGATATGACATGACAATTCCAGAAAAGCACTTCTCGTTCTCCACCAAGATGATGGTTCTGGCAATTGAGCTGTACCAAGAGGAAGCTCCACGAGATTTCTGTCATTATACAACCTTTGCTTACCGAAAGCTCAAGCAATTTGTTGATGATCGAAAAGATATGACAGCTCAATCCTATCGGTTCTTTTTTGAGCATGCCTACAATCAGCTCTTCCAACATGAAGCTTTTCATCAATCTGCACGAGCAAGGGCAAGAGATTTGAATGCAGGTGATTTTCACACATCTACCAAGCTCAGTGGTTATGTTTGGGTTGCAAGTTCTGAGAAGGTAGCTCACGTGCCCAAAGACCAAGCAGATGATGTGAACATGGAAGATCCTGAAAAAGATGATGAAACACAATTTCTACCTTCCCTGCATGTCGTTGTCAGGCCTCGGGAAAAGGACAAGGCTGATGAAGGTGTAGGCTCTTTGCAGAAAGAGGAAACACCACAACATGGAGCATCTTCAGATGATGACGATGTTGAATCGATAGACCTTGCGCAGATCAACAGACCTGAGGATAGGTATGGATGTTTTATTGTCAGGCAGCTCAAAAGAGAACATCAGTCAATGCCAAGAGATTTGTGCATCAACTCACAAGTTGTTCTCCAAGGAGATGACCTTGAAGGAGGACCTCCACTACATCGAGAAACAGTTGGTTATTTTTCACTACTGTTCTTTATGGAATTTGTAGCTGATACATCTCTGACATCCTTCCTGGAAGAATATGTGTCGTCAACGCAAGATCAGATCCAATATGACACTTATCATGAATTCCACCTGGGAGTAAAGAGAGTTATTGAAGCCAACAAACAGATTTGAATGATAATGATCCAAACATTCCTCTTCAACGTCGAGAAGATCAAGGCCGTGGGGATCCAGAATTCAAGGGCAAACTTGAAAACCTGAGTAAGGTAGACCAGACAAGCATCTCATTTTGGAAACAGAGGATGATGCTTTGGTTGAATGCAAAATCCAGTGGCTTAGCATGTACAACAAGACTGTTCAACAGAAGATCATGGAGAGAGTTGTCAAGCCAGAGGCAAAGGATGAAGAGGAAGAAGTCGAGGTTGAAGAAGAGCAACAAGAACCACAGGAGCCTACAGTACCAGCACCAACATCATCAGAGATGGAATGTCAGACAGATGAATCCTTTTTAATGGATTCAGAAGCTGGAAGCTCTTTGAAGAAAGGGGCACCAGTTCCACCTGAAGGCTCTTTGCAGAAAGAGGAATCAGGGGAAACTAACGCCGAGGAGAAGAAGGACATTCAAAAAGATGATACAGCTCCAAAACAGGAACCTGCCAAAAGACTTTACCATAATGCTGATATCACTGGTAATGAAGATGATTCAGTTTTCAGAAAGTTAGCTGACTGTTTTACCGACGGTTATTGTGGTGAATGGGCAGGATTCTACAATCAAGGTTATCCAGCATCTTCTCAACATCGACATATGTTCTGGCATGTGAAGTATCGAAAGACTATGGCTCCACAAGAAAAATCACTGGTTTTCTAACACTGATGATCAATTGATGGCCGAGTACATTGCCAGACACAAGGATCAACTTCCACTTCAAGAACTAGAAGACCTCAAAAATACATGTGAATATGGCTGCAGTGATCCAAGATTACATCCACGTCATCAAGAACCTTGGGGCACATCTTTTCATGAATTGCGAGGCTGGTAGTCTCTACTCTTTCAGGGAGCGTCTCAAAGAGGCCAAGATCACTACTTGCTTCAATGATTATCATGATTTGATGGTTGCTGCTCGGATTGGTAAGGAAGGCTATATCAGACAAATTGCAGGATACAATACATCAGAGGATGACACACGCATCCGATGTGTATCTTGGGCAATCTTCGAAGTCTCTTGGGGGAAGACCAAACATCGTGATACACAAGAACTAGAAGATCTCTCAAGAGCCAGGATGACGATGACACGTATTTGTGTATATCACGTTGGTCAAAAGCATGTCGGAGACTCTCCTGGTATCACTGGTGAAAGTATAGCTTGCATGGCCTTTGAGTGTGCCCGTTATCAAGTTGATGTGATTGCAGGCGATGGGAACAAGGCATGCTATTTGCATACACCAAAGTCTCCAGGAGTTCCCACATACGAAACCAGTCTTTTACAATACTGGATCAACAAGATGATGAATGTTGCAACCCAAGCTCGACGCAAGCATTTTGAGAGAACATGTCCACCCATCAGGGTCAAACATTTCATGTCTTGCAGTTATCGAGATCTTGATTTTCTTGCGACACATCTAGAAGGCATTACAACAGAGAAGTACACCATGGACCTTGTGAACAAGACTCACGGATATGGTGATTGCTGTATGATGTCTATTGTTGGGTGGGGACATGCAAGTCTGGAATATTCAGAGGAACTTTGCCAATTTGATGATCAAGATCACATGGACTACATTGGTGAATTTACCTTCAAGGTAAATGAAACTTGTCTATCCAGTGATCACAACATCTTTATGGTCGCACCTACAGACAGTGATGCTCACAACCCAATCCTTGTTCACTTGAAACCTTCTGATATGCTTTGGAGAGAAGATCCAACTATATTCCTTATGAGATGAAACGAAGACGCAAGGAAAAGAGAAAGGAAACACAAAGAGCGAACAGGAGGAAAGGTTGGGAAGAAAGTGAAGAGAGCACTTGGCAAGATTGGAGCGACTGGCCTCAATATGGCTATGGTGGATCCTCAGCTTCATCTTCCAGACCCTCAAGAACATGGAGACCAAAGTGAGTGTATACTTCTGTAGATGAAGATAACACAGCATGAGAGAAGCCGTGTACAGTTTTTCTGTGCGCTCACTTTATTTCAACAGAGTATAAACTCAATGCAGGTTGAGAAAATACTATTTGCATTTTGTCTCTGTAAACCGTCCGCCAAGCAGAAAGACTCCGAATGGAGCGAATCAACATTTTACTAACTCCGATTTCTGTCCATTGTTTGCTTGAATGAGCAACTTTGGAGATCCGATATTTCCGGTTATTTTGTGATTCGGTCAATTGTTTTCCATCTGACCTAAATTTCTGAATCTTGCGAATCCGAACTTTCCAATTCGAACTTTTCACCGGTAGAGCAAGCATTTTGCTTGGAGAGACCGTGCCTAGTGGACCATTGGTCATGCCGAGAAATAATTAGCGAATCCGCTGTTTTCATGTTGAAATGTCCTTAGGACACTGTTCGCCTTTTCAATCCGCTACTTTTGTTGAAACACCACTGCGTGACTTCCGCTCAGTTTTTTGCGATTTGCCATTGTGTAGCTAATGCAGGAAGATACTCTTAATACCAATTGGGTACGACAAGGCGTAGTGCTCTACTCATTGCTTTTGAATTTGTGCCTGTGTTTTTGTTTCGACCTAATACCTATGCGGGTACATGCATGAGTATTGAGCACATTTATATGCGCCCTTCAAGGCTCAAGAGGTATATACAGAGTAACCCTGTGCACACCACACCGACAGGCAATACGCCGTGAGTAAAAAGGCTGTGAAGCTGTCTTGGGAAGACGCTCTAGCTGATCTTGAATAGACGCTAGTGCCCCTCTTCCCCCCCCCCCCCCTGTGGTGTGGTGGGGGTGTGGTATGGTATGTATGGTGTGTATGGTCGGTCTGGTATGGCATGTTTGGAAAGTATGGTATGTATGGTAGTTATGGTATGTATGGCATGAATGGTTGGTATTGCACGGATGGTAGGTATGGTATGTAAGTCTGTTGGATATGGTATGTTTGATATGACAGTATGTATGGTCTGTATGGTACGTATGGTTACTATGTAAGGTAGGTATGGTATGTATGGCATTGTATGGTAAGTGTGGTAGTTATGTTTCATATGTATGGTATGTGTGGTATGTATGATAGGTATGATAGGTATGGTATGTATGGCATCATTATATATAAGATCATTTATATATATATATACACATATAAATATATATATATATATACATATAAATATATATATACACATATTTATATATATATATATATTATATATATATATTTATAGTAGGTCATAATGGCCTTTCCAGCTGTTCAATGCCCTGATTTGTTTCTTCCTGGTATTTTGATGTAGTTGTTCTTCTTGTTCTTCCTTGGCTGTCTTCATTCATCCTGGCAGCCAGCTTCCTGCATGATGGCCCAGCGTGAAAATGCATTGAGGCTTAGTGAGGCATGGTCTAAGCGTTCTTCATGTCGCGCCAAGTGTCCAAAGTCATGCAGCCGTTTCATGTCGTTTTTTCCATCTACAGTACAAGTCGTCAATTGCGGGAGCACGATCTCAGGTGTGGACTTTGTCTTCTTGATTGACATGGTCCTGCAATTTTTCACCGCCTATGTCCGAAGAACACCCAGAGGCACTCTCTGCGGGCACCCCCAAGTGCATCAACCCGTTCAACTGAGTGATTTCTGCGGCTTTGTTATTTCTCCCAGCCGCTGGATACGTTGAAAGGAGCACTATATATGAACAGAAAACACCAACTTGATCATTATTCAATTGATTTGATTCAGTGTCAGGGCATGCCTATGCATGCGCCACTTTGCTAGGAGCGCCTTTTCGTCCCACCCACGTCGTGGTTCCAAGTTTTATTTGTACGAGAGTTGGACTCCTCCTTGCCTCAGACCACTGAGCGAAAGTGAGCCAGGTGATGAATTGGAAGTGCGAAGCAGCAAAATCGTACTGCACTACTTGTCGACACTTTGGCAAAAACTGGTCATTGATGACCCTGTTTGGGCTTTGTATTCCCAGCAACTATCTTGCACGGACCTCATGGCATGCTTGCTCTGCTACAGTATCGCAACCCGTGAATCTGAGCAAAGACTGCATAGAAATGGATTAGGAGGATCGAACCACCACCGATATCGCATAACGAGTGGATACAGGTGGCATAATATATCAGAAACAGCACAGCGACATTTTTTGACTCAGGACTTGGTTCGTGCTGGACTTCGTCACGCTGATTCCCTTCGAACTGGTCGCACTGCTGGGTGGCTCCAATGTCGAAGAAGCTTGGATGAAAGCCACAAAGACCGCCCGCAACGCAAGACCCGGTTGGTGAAAACTAGTGGTTTGGACAACTCAGCGTGGCAGTCCCAGCGTTTAAGAAAACAAAGAGAGTGGGGACTGATGAGGGGTGGGGGTTGAAACGGTAATCGGCCGAATTACGGGAAAAAAGAGGTTCAAAATTAAGCAGCAGGTCAGCTGTCCCCGTTTTGTTCCAGAATCAGTTTTTCCCTTTCAGAGTTTCAAATTTCAATAAGGCCACTTGAACCCGTGTTTGTTTCATAAATGATTTTACCATATTTTACCTGCATACCCAATGGTTTTTTTCCATAACTATTTTTTGGGGTGTCAAACTGCTGGTTGGCCTGGCAAAAAATAAACAATGTCACAGTCCAACCTACATTTTAGATCATTTAGTACAAGGCAAGACCAATAGCATTTGGCTAGTTTGTACCAATAATGCTCAACTCAAGTTTGAAATTAATGCTTTACCAATAGCATTTGGCTAGTTTGTACCCTCATGTGTGGGGCTCTTGGGGGCGAGTATTATGCTCTTTACTTCAAAGATAGAAGCTACTACCCATAATTATATAATACCCGGGTTCTATTTAAAATGACCGGTTGGTGACAATAAGATAGAAGCAATACAGGTTTAGGTGGGTCAAATACTTGCAGTGACTTGCTTGTATCTGAACAGACGCTGCAAATTATTAAATATTGAAGAACTGCGGTTTTTTGAGTTTGGGGTGATAAACCATGAAAACTTGTGTGGGAAATTGGCAAAACTTGTGCACATGTTTCCAAAAAATGCAAAAAACAATTCGTTTTCAATATGGTTGAAATTTATTTATGATTCAATTTATGGCAACCTGTGGGTGATATCCCTCTCTCTCTCTCTCTCTCCAAATGGTGCATTGTGGAGCACTGCAAGACAAGTGAAGCAAAACAGCTGTTTTCCTGTTTAGGCATATTTCAAACGACACCCAAACGAAACACGATATTCCACTTTGTGTTTCTATTGGGTTTCAATTTCGACACACCCCAATGAACAGAAGCTATTGCTGCACAGTTGCTTCTGCTTGAACTGACCATAGAAAATATCGAAAAATACCGCTGTTGGTGATAAATTATGATCACGTCTCCTTGGTAAATTGATCAAAAGCATCCACATGTGTACGTACCAGACAGAAAACAGATAGGTACCAACGTTGGTCGCCTTTTTAAATCATTATCTTGGTGCTATATCACCCCCCAATTATATCATGGTCCGGTTTTATACGGGATTTAACATGATTTACCATCGACAATGCTTCCCCTCAGTTTTGGCAATATCGTCTTTTGAAATACGCTCCGGGGGTTGGTCGCTTCTGTTTGAACAGAATCCTTATATAATATCTTCTATCTTTGTGTTCCCATATGCAAAGAATTATGAAATATGCAATATTCCGTTGGCAATACATAAATATTGATGGAGAGAGAGAGAGAGAGAGAGAGACATGACATCTGATGATTTGTTCTACAAGTGTTTTTCCACATAGGGTACATACATATAGCCACTATTTGTCCTTGATTTCTGTACGCGTTGGCAGAATTGCAGAAAGCATGTGGAAGAACACCAAATGTATCTGTAGGATGTAGAGAGTTCACACGCACGTAACTATTTGTTGTGTAGCATTAGGGATTTTTTAGGCCTGCATTTATGTAGACACATTTTTCCATGTTTCCGGACAAAGCGCGTTGAGTGGGAAAAAAATACACCGGCATATGAGGCCGATGTCGCAGATACAAGCAACAATAGCTATGGAACAGAAACAGATGAGGTCAGACATGATCGCAACTGCAGCAGCAGGACCTTATACATAGATCGTATAGAGGATCTCAGAAGATCTTCAGACAAGAACTTCCTAGGAGCATCCCAGAAGAATTTTCACACAAGCACCAACGCAGAGGATCTTCAAGATCTTAATGCAAGGACCTCTTGAGAAGGATGCCAACAGGATCTCAACAAGATCTTCTCACAAGGACCTGTACGAGATCATGTAAGGACACCTAGAAGATTTCACCAGGACCTCGTCAAGAGCTTCTCACACGGACCTGCACAAGATCATCCAAAGGCCTCCGACAGCATGTCACTAGCATCCCCACCAGATCTTCTCACAAGGACGTGTAAAAGACCTTGACCAAGATCTGCATGCCAGCACCCTGAAAAGAAGCTCACAAGATCGTCATAAAAGGACCTGCTGCTGCTGGAGCGGATCTTACAAAATCTTGATACAAGAACCTCCCAAGAGCCTCCCACGAGAGCTTTCATAGAACCACCTGTAAGACATGGCGCGCAAGATTTTCATGCAAGGACTTCTTGGAGAGGACCTGACCAGGATCTCCACAAGACCTTCTGACAAGGACCTGGACAAGATCATGCAACGACCTCTTAAGAGGACTCCACAAGGATCTCCAGAAGATCTTCTGATAAGGACCTGTGCAAGATCACGCAAGGATCTCGCCGCACCTCAACTGCGAACTCCAGCAGTGCCCACTGAGATCTGGCACTCATGGTTGAGGTCCGGCAGCGTCCATGCCACAGAGAGTGTCAGAATAGATGGCAGGTAGAATGCCAGAATAAAATGTCAGATAGGATGCGGGAAAGAATGCCAGAATGGATGCCAGAATAATTGCCGGACAGAATGCCAGAATGAATGCCAGATAGCATGGCAGAATAGGATGTTAGAATAGATGCCAGAATAGAATGTCAGATAGGATGCCAAATAGAATGCCAGAAAAGGTGCCGGTCAGAATAGATGCCAAGAAAGAATGCCAGATAGAGTGCCAGAGAATATGTCAGAATAGATGCCAGAAAGGATGCCAGATAGAAATCAGAATAGGTGCCAGGTAGAAGGCCAGAATAGGATGTCAGATAGAATGCCCGAATAGAATGTCAGAAAATATGTGCCTTATATACTTCCAGATGAGATGTCGGAAACTATGACAAAAAAAATTGTCACGGTGGGATCACTCGAAGTAAAGTAATTACGTGTTTTTGATATTTTTTGATACTGGAGAGTCAGACAGGGAGTCTTTAATCATTGTTTATTCATGCAGAAGGAACATGAAGGGGGGCTTCAAACCTCCTTATGCGAAGACCTGGAAATCTTGGTTTGTCAGACAATTGTGCCGACGTGAGACTCCATGAGACAAGATTCCAAAGTACTGCAAACGTGGTGTTTTGAGGATTGTGCCTGGGTCGTTCTGAAGTTTTGAGCTCTAAGGAGTTGACCATGATCAAAGTGATCCGTGACTCAGCTGAAAGGCACGTCGAACGGCCTTGGCTCTTTTGTATCGGTTGCACGTAGTTTGCTTGCAAAGAGCAAGGGCCTTGGCTCTTTACGCACCAAACCCTGGAACCGCTGCAGCTAGGGCGTGACTTGTGCTCAGCGCATTAGGAGCTGGTATCTGGGCATTAAAGCACAAATATCTGCGGAGATTTGTGAAGTGTCTTCCCGACATTAGTGACATAATTCCCGACACTACTGACATAACAGTTTTTAACACGCCCCTTTCATATCACATACGATGACAGATGGCTGTGTGACCGCTGCATGATGAAGTGCAGTGAAGGGATCGAGCTTGCGCGCCGAAGATTAGCACTGCGCCACCGACCTTTCTTGCATGAGTGCCAACTTCCTGTGTGCCCACCTCTTCTTGTTGGCAGAGGTCGCTTGAGGATTTTCAACTGCGTACGACCTCTAGGGCACGCGCTGAGAAAACCCATGGGCATGTGCTGGAGTCAGCCCTATGAGACGAAGATGGCAGTGGTTAGGCACTGGGACGAGATGGCGTGAAACATGAAACATGTCTGCATTGACATTTAGGGGCTGCAGATGGAACTTCGACGAGCCGCTGGGCCCGGCACTCAATGTAACGTCATCACTGGCAGCTGCCTTGGGGAACTTCTCTGCCCACCCGACATGGGAGACATCAGATCATCCAGGCTGCTTTAAGACAGCGCCAAAATGAAAGTTGCTGGTCTATACCTACACAGAGCTCGTTTGACAAATGTGCACCAGATGGCGTTGCAGCGGTTGGCCCTGCGAAGACCAGTCGCGACAAGGAACCCTTTCTTTACGGAAAGGACAATGTCTAGTCCCGGACATATATGCCGGCGACAACATGACTTTTGAGACATAACGAGGCCTTGGACATGGATGAAGATGCAGCATATTAGGAGGAGTTTGAAGTGGGAACGGTGCCCAACGAACACGACGATACGTCCAAAAGGCCAGACCTAGGGCCAGAAGCCCTTTGAAAGGCCAAGGGCAAGAGTTTTACGAAGCAAGCGACCTCCGTCAGGAAAAGGCAGAGCCAAGGCGACCTTGGGTATTGTCAAATGCCTGCGATCTGGAATTAGCAGGTCATTATGCCCCCAACCATCCCCAAACTGTCAAACTCAAAGCATGGATCCAAGCGGCTCAGGGTGAACATGGTCGCAGATGGCGACAGCGACGTCCAGCAGGCCTGCATGCGAGCAAGACAGATACGGGAATTCAAGGTCGCGGTGGTTTTCGCCGGCTCAAGACGTATGCTCATGGCTGGCTTTGACATCGCACCATCAAGGCATGGACACGCACCAACAGCTTCAGATTTGGTTGGCACTGGCTCACTTCGCGTGAAGTGTTCAACAGAAACATCACGGTCTCACGTCGCCACTGGAAAGGTCCAGTTCCTGTTGGGCCGACTTGTGAACTAGCATGAACAACCAGTATCCATCGCCTGTGCCAACAAGAAGATCAAGTGCGGCCAAGAAGCAGCAGGCGAAGGAACTCATGAGGAAAGGTCATGGGTGCCAGGCAAAATATCTCACTTTGCCAGTGGCAACTTTGTCCTGAGGATCGTTCATTCAAGTTGCCAAGAGTCTGTAGGCCGAGTCCTAGCGCGGAATGCCAAGCCCTATCTCCAGCCGACAGGACTGGAGGAGTTGCTCCTGTTCAAGAACTATTTGATACATTTGCCAAGGAAAAGGCCAAAGAAGAGCACTTGTGAATCATGCAGAAGACAGACAGACAGCAGCTTCAAAGCTGACTGCAGCTCACACGCCGGTGGTGCTAGTGACAGCAAGAAACATCAAGGCTGTCAATGACCGCAACCCTTGGTCCAGAACAATGAGGACCAAATTTTCCTTGGCGAGACTTACGGCATGAATGCACGAAAGTGGATGCTGATCATGGCGACCATTTTCGTCATGCGTGTCGCGCATGATGGGATCACTCGAAGAAAGTAATTTGGTACATGTGGTTTTTGACCTACCCCGCCCTACTGTGAAGCGTCGGGCTTTGCATTTTGTCCCGTTTGTCCCACTTGCTTCCCCAGTGATTTTCCATCTCCTTCCTTTCTTCCGTTACCTTCAAAGAGAAAGTTTCCCGGTGTCTCCACTTGTCTTCCTACCCAACTTGTCCCCACCTGCCGCACCTGCCTGTCTCCTTTCTTCACGGTTGACTTCTCTTCGGTTTCATCTGGCTGCCTTGTGGCTGCCCTGGGGCTTGCCTCTTTCTGCAGCATCTCTCGCTTCGTTCTTCGAGCCATCTTCCTTCTTCTGGCTCGCTGCGGAGGATGAATTCTTCCGTCTCGGTGCCTGTATAGTCCGCTACCATTCTTCTCTTGGCTGCTTTGGGCGAAAGATTTTCCTTGGTCCCCAATTGTTTCCTCACTCCCTTCCCTTCCTCGCATTCCATTTATATCCAGCATATACCTGGTGTTTTCCGGTTGTTCGTATATCGCGCTTGTCTATTTGTCTCCCGGCTTCTATTTTTTCAGTGGTTGTCTTCCTTCTTGTGGCTGTCTTGGCACAGGAGGTTTTGCCTCCTCCACCCTTTACCCTACGCCCCCCGCGCGAGTGCCATGCGCAGAGGAAAGAAGCAAACAGCACCAAGGGGGCTGCGAAGGGCAAACGGTGATCTGAAAGTTGGTTTTGCTTGCGCTCACCAAGGCGTGTTGCGGCTGCTGAAGCTAACCCGTTTGGCTCGCGGCTCCAAATTGGCACAGAGGCATTTGGCATTTGCATCGCGCGCTTTGCAGCAGCTGGGAATGGGAATGAATGGCTTGCCGTGCTTTCTGCCTGCTAGATTTCCGGGATCAGCAGTTTGTGGCTGCAGGCTGGAGGCTCCGATCTCACTTCCGTACCAACATCTGGCGCTCCTGCGTTGCGTGTTCGCCCCTTGGCAACCATTGCACCTGTGGCATGAACTTCTAGATTAGGTTTAGGTAAGGATAGGCAGTCTCACTTGCCAGGGTGCCGCTCGTAGTTTCAATGTCCGCATCCTGATCATGTTTGGAATTTAAATTTCTCAAGCCAAGGTCGTTTCTTCCATGACAGGGGTCGGCAACCATAATAATGAACTGTATCAACATTGACACATGTTGGTTGCAATCAACTTTCTTTTGCAGCTGATCTTACGAACTGATGTGGGGTGTTGGGTCAGTGTTGGGGTTGCACTTGGATCTCTTTGCTGTCTGCGTCTCTTTTAGAGCACCTACAAAGACTGGCTGGAGAAGACTGAGATCCTGGTTCTTCTTTGCCATTGGCTGGCTAGTATTTGGGCAACGACCATATTGCTCGTCCCTCGTGGAACTCCTACATGGATTGATGACATTGACACTCGGCAGGTAAAAGGCTCTTTCCGGATGCAACATGAAGCATGCGAATGCCGGCCCCCAAAATCTGGAACGCATGGGGAAATGTTGGTAAATCCGAGTGTGGTTGGGGAAAAGATGCAAGAAGATATGACTTTCAGACCGGCACCGACAGCAGCAAGTGCATCACTTGTTGAGGACGTGAAGGTGCAGGAAGGACAAAGGGAAGACTTGTGATGTTTGGGGCCATGATCAATTCAGTGCTAATACGGCGGCTAGCAAAGTGGCGATGACTTGCCTTTTAAAGTCTTTGAAAAGTGTCGGAACATTTGCAAGTTTCATGACATATTTGCAAGTTTCATGCATTGACCACAAGATTTTCAAGCGTTTCATCAACGCAGGCTTCAAATATTTGTGCATATATATATTGCATTGCGTTTGGAAAGCGTCTCCCGCGCAATTCGAGGCAGCTGTAGATGAGGGCTTTGGAATTGACACCCGAGCACATCCACTTCGTATCTATATCGCATCCTTCTACTTTTGCAGCTGCGTGGCCTTGTTTCGTTTTTGCGACAGAAGACATGACGCAAGAATGTCGGAGGATATTCACATTTCTCCAGTCTGCATGTCACATAGAGAAAGAAAAGAGCAAGCACATGCTGTTGACAAAATCAATGGATAGGTCAAGTTGTGCAGGATCATGCCTGGCTGTTTGGAGAAGATAGCTGCACATGCGTCGAACTTTGTTTTCAAGGCTACACCATGACTTCTGTGGGGTATGGTGATATTGGACCGCAAAATGTCTCGGAGCGGGTGGTGTGCACTCTGATTGCGCCTTGGTTACGTAGAACTTTGTTTCCCGAAAGCCCGAAAACCTGACATGCAGCCATGAAGCCGGAAACGGGTGAAAAACTTGTGGTCGAAGATCCGTGAAGCGATCTGCAGTCATAGCCAGAAGCCATAGACAGTGTGGCAATTCTATGTTGAAATCTGTGGTGCGCAGGCATGGTTCGAAAAGATCAGTTGAAGCTGAAAGTAACTAGAGCTGATAATATTATATTTGCTAAATCCGACATGAACAGGAAAGCTATGATAGAGATACAGTTGGCCATGACAGCGATGGAGAGAGGGAGAAGGGGAGGGAAAGAGAGAGAGAGAGAGAAAGAAAGAAAAGAAAAGAAAGAAAAGAAACAGAAAAGAGAGGAAAAGAAAGCAGAGGAAAAGAAAGCAGAGAAAAGGAAAAAGAGAGGAAAAGAAAAAGAGAGGAAAAGAAAAAGAGAGGAAAAGAAAGCAGATGAAAAGAAAAAGAGAGGAAGAGAAAAAGAAAGGAATAGAAAAAGAGAGGTAAAGAAAAAGAGAGGAAGAGAAAAAGATAAGAAGAGAAAAAGATAGGAAGAGAAAAAGATAGGAACAGAAAAAAGAGGAGAGACGGGGGAGGGGAGAGGGGAAAGGAGAGAGGGGAGAGGGGAGAGAGACAGAGGGACGGGAGGGGAGGGGAGGGAGAGATGGAGGGAGAGATGGAGGGAGAGATGGAGAGGGAGCGATGGACGGAGGGAGAGGTGGAGAGAGAAAGAGAGAGGGAGAGAGAGCGAGAGAGCAAGAGCGCGGAGGTAGAGAGGAGAGGAGAAACGAGGAGAGGAGGGGAGCTGAGGGGAGCATGGTTAGTTTCGTAGGATAAGAACCTCAGTGTCAAATTTTAGAGAGGTGAGCTTGGTAAGAACTGGTTTGCCAGAGATAAGTTTGGAGATGTGGCTGGGATTGTTTTGCTTGGTAAAAGTTTGAGGGTAACAAGCGCGGAGATTTTTTGATAGCCACAGCCTTGCGGGAATTAAATTACAGTCAAGAATATATGTGTTCGTTCTTGTATGTACATACATACATATATATGCGTGTGTCTACGTACATAATTTTGAATATATTATATATATATACATATATATATACATATATATGTATATACATATATCATATATAGATATATACATTCAAATATCACAAAAGGTGTTCGCTTGAGCGCAGTTGTCACAGAGATAAGTGATAAGTGATTGAGATCAGGTTGGATAGAGATGAGTTTTTCTAGGGAAAAGTTCAATAGAGCGAAAAGGGATGTAGACAAATTACAATGGAAATAAGTGGGTGCTGAATGGCGAGGAGGTGGAAGAGGAGGACGAGGACGCAATGCAACACAGACTGCGAACATTTTGGCATTTTGATAGACAAACATTCGCATTGTATAGTTGCTTCGATTTTGGCCACCACTGCCAAGGCATGAAACACCGTTTTTTATTGCATTTTTGTATGCATCCGCCTGGCCGATGTAGGCAAGTATTAGCTTATTTTGTTTTTTCCCGTTTGTTTGCTTCATTTTGGCTTAAAGCATTATGTTTGCCAATGAAATTAATCATTTACTTTGTTTGCAAGTTGTAAGTTGCTGTTGTTGTTGCTGTTGTTGCTTGTTGTTGCTTGTTGTTGCTTGTTGTTGCTTGTTGTTGGTTGCTGGTTGTTGGTTGTGGGTTGTGGTTGTGGTTGTTGTTGTTGTTGCTGTTGTTGTTGCTGTGGTTGTGGTTGTGGTTGTGGTTGTTGTGGTTGTTGTTGTTGTTGTTGTGGTTGGTGTTTGGTGTTTGTTGTTTGTTGTTTGTTGTTTGTTTTTTTTGTTTGTTGATTTTTGTTTGTTGTTTTGTGTTTGTTGTTTGTTGTTTGTTGGTTGTTTGTTGTTTGTTTGGTTGGTTGTTTGCTGGTTTGTTTGTTCGTTCGTTCGTTTGTTTGTGTGTTTGTTTGTTTGTTTTTTTGTTTTGTTTTGTTTGTTTTGTTTGTTTTGTTTGTTTTGTTTGTTTGTTTTGTTTGTCTGTTTGTTTGTTTGGTTGTTTGGTTGTTTGTTTGTTGTTTGTTTGTTTGCTGTTTGCGTGTTGTATGTGTGTTGTTTGTTTGTTGTTTGTTTGCTTGCTTGCTTGTTTGTTTGTTTGTTTGTTTGTTTTGTTGTTGTTGTGGTTGTGGTTGTTGGTTGTTGGTTGTTGGTTGTTGGTTGTGGTTGTTGGTTGTTGGTTGTTGGTTGCAGTTTGCAGTTTGCAGTTTGTTTGATTATTTTTGTTGGTTGTTGGTTGTTGGTTGGTTGTTGGTTGTTGGTTGTTGTATCTTGGTTGTACGTTAGTTGTTTTATTTTTTGTTGTTGTTGTTGCTGCTGCTGTTGTTTTTGGTGTTGTTTTTGTTGGTGGTGGTGGTGGTGGTGTTTGCTACTGTTGTTTGTTACTGTTTTTGTTGCTGTTGTTTGTTACTGTGGTTTGTTGCCTGTTGTTTGTTACTGTTTTTGTTGCTGTTGTTTGTTACTGTGGTTTGTTGTCTGTTGTTTGTCGTCAGTTGTTTTTTTTACAGTTGTTTGTTATTTGTTTGTTGTTTGCTGGTTGTTTGCTGTTGTTTGTTCTTGTTTGTTCTTGTTTGTTGTCGTTTGTTGTCGTTTGTTGTTGCTGTTGTTGTTACTGTTGCTGTTGCGGTTGTGTTTGTGTTTGTGCAGGTGTATGTGCATGTGCATGTGTGCGGGCATTTGCATGTGTGTATATATATATATGATTATATATGTGTGTGTGTGAAACATCTGAATAGATGCAAAACTTCTAATCGTCGTCGTTCAGGTTTTACACCGATGGGTTTTTATTTAGTTTTCAACAGCAGGGGGTGCCGGGGGCACTGATGAGACCGGCACTAACAAAGACACTCATCAGTTGCCTATGTTATCGATGGGGACGCTCATCGACATATCTGCTCCATTTTTTCATTTTTTCATGTCAATTGTGTTTGCAATGGGACGTGGCTAACCAAGAACCACCGTGCCGTTTCCAAACCACTTGTTTCCACACCACTTGTTTTCAATTTTCTCGTGCTGCACGGTTTTCGCAATCTGTCAAGGTGGGAACGATGTGGCTTTGTTGAAAGGGGAAGTGTCACGTTCCAACCCATTTCCTCTAGCTCTGACTATGGCGATGGTAGCTCTTTGATTTTTCTCGGGTCTTTTCATTGACCCATTCCTGTCAGGTATAACTGGAGTGTTTTTGCACGTAAGACGCATTCCACATCAGAATTCGCAATGATTGTTCTGAGCAAGTGTGTGATTCATGCTGGATTCGTCATGGTGGCATGAACCCTTGGGGGAATACCTTTCTAGGTAGGAGTCTCGATCCTTCGACTTGATCTCTGAATTTACATTTTTCAACCTAGTAATTCGTTTAAGTAAAGTGAAACAGCTGGCCTTCTTTCACTGTCTCACTTGTCGCCTGTCGTGATGTTGAACAGTTTGCCGCTGTGCCTAGCCTCACCATTTAAAACTCGCAAGGATTGGTAGACTGAAGCTGTGACAACACTCTCCTTTTTGCTGATGCGACTAATCGCTGCCATTTTTCGCATCATTTCATGAGAGTTGAAAGGCCAAGGACATGCTTTCCAGGTGTGGTCACTTCCTTCTGGTTACTTTGGTGAGGTTTAAATGTGCACGTAATTCGAGGGTTGACCACGTCAGCTGTTTATGGGGTTGACGCGACACTTTGGCCAGTGTGCCTGATGAGGGGATCCTGCATGACATTGTGGAGGCATCATGGTTTGAACTGTTGTGCTCATTAGTTTTAATTCTATTGTACCTGACGTCACCGTCGTCGCCATGTATCCTTTCGCTGGATGAACAATTCTGAACCGATGTGGAATCCTATGTGGCATTCAACGCCAATGACACCACATCAGGCTCCTACTCCTCAGAGCCAATTTTGCAGTGGAGACTTTAACTACCAACAACAGGCTCAGACTCAGGCCCAGATTAACGCGCTCCAACAACAGAACGCGCTGTTGAATCAACAATTGGCCAATCAATCCTGGACTCATATCCAGCATCTTCAACAGTTGGTTCCACACCAACATCCTCAGTCAGCACCACCTTCAATTCCAAGCGCACCACCGGTTCAACCAGAACCAACAACATCCACTGTGACACCACCAAGCCAACCGCCAAATCCACCATCCCTCAACCCTGACGAGATGCTGAACAAGATGCGGCAAACCTTAAAAGCCGATCTTGATGCTGCTGTGCAAAAGGCTAATGATCGAGCCTTACAACTTACCACACCTACACCACCACCTACAACATCTCAACCTGCCGACAGCCAACATCACCCTACCAGTAGCCAACATCCATCAACGGCTCACTCCTCCCGTCGATCTCGTTCACCTCCTCGTCATCGAGAACCTCACAGGGATGAGAAACGACCCATCTCTGTCTGTTCCAAGAAGTCCACGTCGTCGTCGCCGTTCTCGTGATCCCAGTCCAAGGCGTCGACAAGGCTCTCCATCGTATCGAGAATTCAGTCACTCTCTGGTCTGTGTCTCCTGACGGACGCAGTCCAAGCTATGACTTCAACCAAGATGACCGCACCCATCATGGTTCAGCACGGCATTCTTCTCGACCTCCTGAACCTTCGAACCCACCTGCCTGGCATCATTCCTCACACCAACCAGACTGGCCGTCAAACTATGACGACTACCAGGGACGCTCGAATCAAGACCAGCACGTGGCAAGACTGGGACACCTGGGGCAAATGGGGAGATGGCGGGATCACAAACAGGATCCACCCAGATCTGGTGCACGTCTTTCAGCAGCACCTCAATCTCGGTCCAAACCTCTCACGGCATTCTCTTCCTCACACTATGGCCCCTCAGGCAAACGCAAGAAACCTGCCAAATCCTTGTGGCAACATCCAGTCTGATCAGGCACATCACTCCTGGTCGGGAACGCCAATTCAGAAAGGCCACATCAAAGTGTCACTGAAAGATGACAATCAGAGGGATTGGATCAA